GTGAAATATCCACTAAAGCAAAGCTTAAGTATATAACACCAACACGAAAGGTGGATTACTTTATAGTCTTGAGGATCAGAAGGTGATCGTTAGCACAAACGCTAGATTCTTGGAAGAAGACTATATAATGAATAACAAGCCCGCGAGTAGACTAATCTTAGAGGAGATGAGGGGTGAAGTCAATAGTTCCCCACCAATTGCGCAAGTAGATACATTACATAATACTGCAACACAACACAATGAGAGTGTACTAGTGCAGACAGTACCTCGTCGTAGTGGGAGGGTATCTAATTTACCCGACCGATTGATAGATCTTGGAGAGTCTAAGGGCTCAATTCCAGGAAACCTAGAATTGGACCCAAGGACCTACAACGAGGCACTCCAACATAAAGATACAAATTCATGGATTGTCTCAATGAATGCTGAAATGGGGTCAATGGACTCTAATCAGGTCTGGGATCGTGTAGAACCACCTGATGGGGTATGACCCATTGGATGCAAGTGGATCTATAAGAGAAAAAGAGGATCGGATGGGGAGGTGCAAACCTTCAAAGCTAGGATTGTTGCGAAAGGTTATACCCAGATTGAGGGTATAGACTATGATGAGACATTTTCGCCCGTAGCTATGCTTAAACCCATTTGGATTCTCTTGGTTGTAGCTGCTCACATGGATTATAAGGTCTGGCAGATGAATGTCAAGACGGCTTTCCTTAACGGGAACCTTTAGGAGGACATCTATATGCAGAAACCAGAAGGATTCATTGCAAAAGGACGTGAGCATCTAGTGTGTAAGCTTAATCGGGCTACTTATGGACTGAAACATGTTTCGAGATCTTAGAATATTCGTTTTGATAAGGTTATCCAGTCATACGGGTTCACTCAATGTCCGAATGAGCACTGCGTGTACAAAAAAATCAGTGGAAGCGTGGTGGTGTTTCTTGTGTTGTACGTAGATGAGATACTTATTATTGGGAAACAGTAAGAAGGAGTTGCCAGATGTAAAGGTGTGGTTGTCTAAGCTGTTTGATTTGAAAGACTTAGGAGAAGCAGGACACATTCTTGGTATTAGTGTCATTCGAGACCATAAGAATATAATGTTGTGCTTATCCCAGTCTTCATACATAGATACTGTCTTGGCTAGTTTCAGCATGCAAGATTCTAAGAAATGTACCTACTTTCAGGAATGAATCCCTCTCTATAAGGAGATGTCTTCTAAGACGTCTCAAGAGATAGAGGACATGAAGACAATTCCTTATGCATCGGCAGTAGGAAGTCTTATGTATGCTATGCTTTGTACAAGGACGGATATCAGCTACGTCGTTGGCTTAGTAGCTAGATATCAAAATAATCCGGGTAGGGAACATTACTTTGCGGTGAAGCATATACTCAAGTACTTGAGAAATACTAAGAAGTACATATTAGTTTACTGTGCAGATAGCTTGTTACCTATTGGTTACAGTGATTCTAATTTCCAGTCAGACATTGACAAAAGTAAGTCAACCTCAGGTTATATGTTTACCTTGGGAGGTGGAGCCATTTCATGGAGGAATGCTAAACAGAAATAAGTGGCAGACTCCACTATGGAAGCCAAGTACATAGTAGCCTCAGAGGCAACGAAAGAGGCAGTTTGGCTCAAAAACTTCTTAGTGGAATTAGAGGTGATTCTGAGTTTTCCACGTGATATCACTTGTTGGGTTCTATGAGGAATGTCAAACAATATGCACATTATTGAACTTATTGAAATAAATCCTAACGCATCGGAATCTATAGTTTGGATATGGACGTTTACCTTTTAAATTTTTTAGCTGACTCAGAGACGATGTTGAATACCATTGGTGAAGTTCGTCTGAACACCACAATCTAATGGGCAGACAGATTTGACCTTTAGTCGATTCTAATCGACAAATCAAACAAAACTCGGTCGCACGGTTTCTCGGTCTCAGCATCGGGTGCAGCATACTGGTCGTGTGCTTGGTCACTGGCGGGTCGCAGACAGCGTGCGAGTGATACACGTCGGGTGCTGGGTAAGACGCGCGGGTCACGAGAACGCGCTGACGGGCGATGGCGGTCGCTGGGCGTGTGCGCGCACGCGTGGTTCTACTCCTATGCCGTGGCGGACTGAGCGCTGGCAACTGGCGCGGGCGTGCTGGGCAAGTCTCCTGGGTGCTCGTGGTATGCAATGCGTGCGTGGCCGTCGCGCGCTAGAACCGGGTGCTAGGGTCAACGGACAGCAAGTGCAAGTTGCGGGCGGTACTGGGCGCTTGCGGTCGTCGCTGGGTGTCACTGGCAGGGACTGGCGGTGCACGACTGCTTGCGCTCGGGCAATTTCTGACAAACCTTGGTTGTGGCGGAAGGCGGCTCACGGTGGTAGGGGATGACTGGAAATATATATATAAGGCTCGAATATATTGTACCCAAAAACCATCTAACGAATTACCTAAACACCGACTTTGACTAATCTTGGTGAAGCGATTACTCGAATCTCTATAACTCTCGAACGAAGCTATTTCTCTCGTGTATGTAGGTGAGAAAATCGGCCAAGATGACATTGTACAAGAGCTTGGGACTTGGTGTATTTATAGGCTCCATTAGGGACCTAAGGAGGTACTAAATATGAGTTTATCCCATTAGGACAAAGAATCCTAATTCTACTTTATTTACTAATCCAATCAAGGAAAGGTCTCTCCTACTAATCATCACCTTCTAGAAGGCTCTCAAGTCTCCTAACATTAGACAACACTCTTGTAGAAATATCCCATTCCCATGGAATAATAAATATGGAATAAAATTAATTCCATATTAAATGGAATTAAATAATAAAATATCCCACTAGAGTAATATTATTGCTCTTCCCATTTAGTTCCTATTTTATCATAAAATTCAAACCTTCATTTATATTAATCTGATTAATCGATTTACCTTCCTATGTTTAAGA